TGACTCGCGATCCCATTTCAGGGTTGCAAAGTGACTAGCGACCCCATACATTACAAATATGCTTTCGATATGGTAAATGAAAAAGTATCGAAATTGCAGTCTAAAATGGAGCACTAGGCTTCGAAGTTATTTTTGTTTCAGACAGTGCTTTGCTAATGCAGTTTCCACATATGGACGGTAGTATACGCTTTCGCTGCCTGAGCTACTGAATTTAGTGCTTGGTGCAGCCCTGTAGGTTGTGTGTGTGTGTCAACGACAAACTGCATTTCTGGTGGCGACTGTTGGTTTTGGCGCCTCTAGAAACTGCCATGCGCATTTACCTCGTGCGTATATTTCTAGATTATGTCGGGGCTAATTGTTGTTGTGGAAATTTAATTTGATTTGCAGTGGCACAGGAGCGGGCAAGTATGTGGTGTATAATTATCACTAAAAATTGACTAATCACGGAGCGGGCATCGCGCGCATTCGGCAAACTGTACAGGATGCGATGACGTTGGGCTTTTTTCTGCTCAAGAATTAGCACGCCAGCTCTTTCAACCCTACAAAAACAGGGACAAACTGTGTCTAACACACAATCGCCATAGACAGTGCTGCAACCTATGTCACCGGAATTCTCTTTAACGGAAGAAAAACGTAATTGTACTACAAGCTAGAAAGCAAACAACAGAGCGCCACCCGTAACTCCCCTGAAAGTAGACCAGTCCAAAAACGTTATCAATGGAACGTGACATACTTTGCTTAGGGAGACTAACGTCGAACTAAATACATTTTCATAGCCCACCACTGCCTGGCGACACCACAGAAAACTCTTCGCGACCCACTGTGGGGTCACGACCCATGGGATGAGAATTTTTGCCAAACACAACCATCCTAGAGAAATGCGCCCAGCAGTACATCAAAAGAACATTAGTCTACATCAAGAAGCGGTCATGCGAAGCAAAATAATATCCATATTAAGTAACTTAATGGAAAGCTGCCGCCCATGTGTTAGAGGGGATTATATGACAATCAAATAGTAGGGTACTATTCAGCTTTTTCACCACATCTTATCAGACGCGAGATTTCATATGAAATTTTTCCTGTCAGTCCAAAGTTAAGCGTAGTAGGGTCAGGGTTAGTCTAAGTCGCTGTTCATTTAAAACTGGTTAAAGTTGTTGCGTATCCTTTATAGGACGTTGCAGAACCAACCCCAACAGCTCCTAGCTGTTGTATGGTTTTTTTTTAAAGGCAAATTTATGTCGAGTAGTTTGCCATTTCTTCTGAACGGTCGGCTTTCTTGATACCACTGTCAAAACCAACGCGAGGCGCATGGCCTGCAGATGGGATCGAACCCGGCATCCTGGCATTACGAAGCGTTCGCATCGACTTAGACACAGAGCCGACTTCATTTAAAACTACAACTCCTATATTCTAGGCGTGTGATGTTTTTTTTTCCTCCCCACCGTTGTTATTGTTTATCGCGTCATGTCCACTGGGACTTTCGTTCATTCGTCGTCCTCGTGCTGCCATGTGTGCAAGCTAGGTTTTTACTTCGTGACTTGGCCTTCGACATAAATGTCCTTGACATGCAGCTAACCCTAACCATTGAATAGTCGTTCACAGTAGTGACAGTTGCTCACTTTTGTCTGGGATTAAGAAAAAAAAAACTGCGTTCTTTTGTGTCTAGTTTCAACTTCATAGCAAACGGGTTACCCCATCTTTGCTCTGCTCCTGCGCCAGCGAAAAACACACAGAATGTTTATCACAGTCCCTTGTGGAAAAAATTGACAGACTGCTGTCTTAGCATATCCAGCATACACTCGCACCAAAGCATATGGTAGCCATCCGAAGTGCCAACACAAACAGTCCGACATCAGAAATGCAGTTCGTCGTTGGTGGTAGCAGAAGTCACCAACAGATCAGCAGTTGCTCAAGCGATAAATTCTAATCACATACGGGCACCACCAACATTGCACGACAGGCAACGCGCCATTTTCCGAATCTACAATTCACACCACCACGGTGGTCCTAGTCGAAAAAACATTCCAAATGAAATCCGCAGCTCACAGTGTCACGCCATGCATTCAACTCAGAAGCTGGACGACGAAACTATATCCAGTCTACAAATGGAGCAAAAATGCATCGGCCACCGTCCGGCAGAAGCAAAAAAATTGCCTCGGCCTCGAACAGTTCCCCTGCCTAGCGTCCATTTGTGTGGGAGACGATGTGGCAATCCGGTCAAACAAAGCCAAAACACTTTTTGGCACGTTGCATACACTCAGTGAACGAAGGCATGTCATGACACCCCTAGAGTATAGGACTGTCGTGGGGAATTCTTTACCATCTCGCACCCGACGAGATGGCGTGATAAGGCTGAACAGTACCAGTAGTAGTATTTTTGAAGGGTCCATGCATGACGCAAGAGACGACAGATGAAGTTGATGTGGAGCTGGCTGTTTCATGCTACAGGGGAATCGAACCAATCAGGAATGAATCCACACAAGGCTGGCTGCTGTCTTAGCATATCCAGCATACACTCGCACCAAAGCATATGGTAGCCATCCGAAGTGCCAACACAAACAGTCCGACATCAGAAATGCAGTTCGTCGTTGGTGGTAGCAGAAGTCACCAACAGATCAGCAGTTGCTCAAGCGATAAATTCTAATCACATACGGGCACCACCAACATTGCACGACAGGCAACGCGCCATTTTCCGAATCTACAATTCACACCACCACGGTGGTCCTAGTCGAAAAAACATTCCAAATGAAATCCGCAGCTCACAGTGTCACGCCATGCATTCAACTCAGAAGCTGGACGACGAAACTATATCCAGTCTACAAATGGAGCAAAAATGCATCGGCCACCGTCCGGCAGAAGCAAAAAAATTGCCTCGGCCTCGAACAGTTCCCCTGCCTAGCGTCCATTTGTGTGGGAGACGATGTGGCAATCCGGTCAAACAAAGCCAAAACACTTTTTGGCACGTTGCATACACTCAGTGAACGAAGGCATGTCATGACACCCCTAGAGTATAGGACTGTCGTGGGGAATTCTTTACCATCTCGCACCCGACGAGATGGCGTGATAAGGCTGAACAGTACCAGTAGTAGTATTTTTGAAGGGTCCATGCATGACGCAAGAGACGACAGATGAAGTTGATGTGGAGCTGGCTGTTTCATGCTACAGGGGAATCGAACCAATCAGGAATGAATCCACACAAGGCTGGCTGCGTTAGGCGAGGTCTGTGCTTTGTTTGGTATGGGCAGGAGGAAAAGGAGAAGAAACAAAGTAGGTGAAGAAGAAGGAGGGGGAGGAGGAGGAGAAGAAGAAGAAGAAGAAGAAGAAGAAGAAGAAGAAGAAGAAGAAGAAGAAGAAGAAGAAGAAGAAGAAGAAGATAGTGATGTTAATGATAATGATGATGATGATGGAGAAGTAGCATTCGTAAATGGAAAAAGGGGGGGGGGGGGATGAGAAAGAGGAGAGAAAAAAAAAACAAGATTAGGCAGCTGGCAATAATGGAAGAAGTAGGGGAGGATTTTCTTTTTTGTGTTCGGCGGTTTCGTATGCTTAGATCAGACCATCAGGAGGGTTGCCTCTATGAACTCGCATGTCAGTAGCAGGTCCTTCATGGTTCCCCATTGTTTGCTCGGCACACTTTGCTCTTGAGGCCAGGTGTCTTTTTGAAGTTGTATGTAGAGTGGGCAGGTCTGCAGAATGTGCTCAGATGTTTGTGGTCCTGTTTTACAGGCACACTGTGGGGACTGTACAATCTTTATTTTATGTATGTGGTAGTTGAGCATGCAGTTCGTAGAGGGAATATTGTTGTATGTTGCTTTCTATCGAGTCTGCCGATGGGGTCTTGTGGATGTTTACTGTAGTTTGCTATCTCCACAATTCCTTGTATTTTCCATTGATAAATGTTCTAATTTCTGGTAATGACAATGGAGGAGGATGGAAACTTATGTTTTAAACAATCATCATTCTATTTTCATTTCCACAGGTGCCCGAACATGCTTAAGATCTGGTGAGTCACGTGGCTGCATTTTAATGGCGAAACTGCTACACATTATATCAAGGAAACGCCCACTAGAAAATACAGCCAGTCGTGGGAAAGGGGGCGGGGCTGAGTTGGAGAAATGTCTTTCTACGGTGGATCTCATCTCCTTGGGTGTTGGATCATGTTGTGGGGCAGGGATGTACTTGACAGCTGGAATCATCGCTTCTACAAAGGCGGGGCTAGGAGGCGTGGTTTCGCTGTTCTTAGCTGGTCTTGTTTCGGTACTGACAGGTAAGTAATTTTTCTGACAAGTGATGTTTCAGCTGGAGTGGGTGACCATGTCCCTCCATCACGTGTAACTTAAAATAATGGTCTATTGCTCATATTTATCCTAATTAAAGTCATAAATTATGTATGACCAAAACGTTCTCTGTTAGTGTCTTTGCGCGGAACAAAGCCCCGAACATATTGTGCAAGACTGTCCACACGCCAAATAGCTGTGAAACAACATGTGACCACAAACAGGAGGCCTGACAACTCAGCTTTGGGGAAACCTGCGAGACCTTGAGTTGATAGGCCAATTGGACGAAGCGCACCACGACGAGGGACCGCTAACGAAGAAAAAAGAAGATGAAATTCACTCATGCCAAATATTCAGGTTAAGAAAAGGCAGCAGTAGCAGTACTAGTGGATTCTGACTTCTTCTTCCTTTCTTTATTTTCTTTCTTTCTTTCTTTCTTTCTTTCTTTCTTTCTTTCTTTCTTTCTTTCTTTCTTTCTTTCTTTCTTTCTTTCTTTCTTTCTTTCTTTCTTTCTTTCTATCTTTCTTTCTTTCTTTCTTTCTTTTTTTTCTTTCTTTCTTTCTTTCTTTCTTTCTTTCTTTCTTGCTTTCTTTTTTTTCTGTTTCTTCTTCTGCTGCTGCTTTCTTCTCCTTCTCCTCCTTCTGCTTCTTCTTCTCCTTGTTTCTTCTCCCCTCGTCCTTGTTTTATCTTCTTCTTCTTCTATTTCTTTTTCTTCTTTTTTTTTCTTCTTCTTCTTTTTCTTCTTCTTTTTCTTCTTCTCCTCCTCCTCCTACTGCTCTTCCTTCTTCTCTATTCCTCCCTTCTTCTTCTTTTTCTTCTTCATTTCTTCTTTTTCTTCACTTGTTCTTTTTCATCTTCTTCACCTCCCCCTTCTCCTTCTTCTCTTCCTCCTTCTTCTTCTTCACTTCTTCTTTTTCTTCTTCTTCTCCTTCTTCTTTTTCTTTATGTTCTTACGTTCAGCATCAGATTTTGAAGAAGCACCATGTTCGAGTCTTAGTTTTTGCTATTTAGATGTTGGTATTTATGGCCTCAGATATTCCATCTATTCATCGCTTGCCTAGCTGACTTCTAGTCTGCTTCCGTTATGTCTGAGTGACAGGGCTGTCTGTACTGCACTCTCTTATGGTAGTCTTGACACATGTCTGAATCATTTGGATTTTGTCTACTTCAGATGTTCCGAAAAGGGCGGCTGTGTGGGTTCCAGTGTGGGTAGTGTGGGGGGGGGGAGGGGAGGGGTAAGGCCTACTGTCCCTAACAGCCTGCATACAAATAAGCCAGATCTGCAAAACGTATGTGCATGCTAAAGTTTACAGCTGGTGAATGTGAAGAAGAAGAAGAAGAAAAAGAAAAAGTTCGAAGGAGGAGGAATAAAAAAGAGAATTGGTGGATGAGAGACATGATTTTTTGATTTTTAACATACTTTTTGGAAAGAGACAAAAGTAGACAGAGAAGAGAGTGAGACCGAGAAAGAGAGGGAGAGATAGAAAGAGAAAGAGGGAGTCATTTTGACATTCTTCTTGTCATGAAATATTCCCCAAAAGGGATTAATTCTTCATTGATTTTATGTGTGTTACAGCTATTTCCACATATGACACTCACACTAATGCATCAAAACACATGTATGATGTGTGTGCGAGTGTATGTCTGTTTATATGTAAAGCACGTTAGGTTTTGTCTACATGTTTGCCTAGCTGTCTGACTGCGTGTTTGTATGCCTATCCATCTGTGTGTTTATGTGTGGATATTAAGTGGGTAGATAAGTATGTATATCTCTTGTATGCATTTTTTTATTTTGTAGTTCTCTCATTTATGTATCTTCTTTATGTCTGCCATTTATGTATCTCATTTATACATCTCGTTTATAATTTAGTTTACATATCGTGCTTTTACATCTCGTTTATACGCCTAGTTTATATATTTAGTTTACGGCTATGTTTAATACATTCCTTTTATATATAGCATGTACGTCAAAGGTTTATGCAGGCCGTTACATGGCAGCTGTAGTGGCAATGAAACCCCAGACCTATTCGCACGTAAACGCTCGACACATTAAACGAATGTCTGTAACCGCAGCATAAGAGTTGCCCAATGCGCAGTATGGATCGGTAGCCTTTTCCAGGCTGTCAAAGATGGCCCTTTAGATAACAGTATCAATAAGGTTGGTCTGTTTGACAGCATCTGTCTGTCCAAGTTGGTTCTTCAGACATCATTGATCTGTCAAAGGAGGTCCAGCATTACTGATCTGTAAAAGTGGTTAGAGATTAACGAAGCTGTGAAAGATGAGACCATGGTGGAAATGACAGAATTGTCAAAGAGGACCTGTGGAGACAACCAGGATGTCAAAGAGGACCTGTGGAGACGACCGGGATGTCAAAGAGGACCTGTGGAGACGACCGGGATGTCAAAGAGGACCTGTGGAGACGACCGGGATGTCAAAGAGGATTCATGGAGATGGTCGTATTGTCAAAGGGATCCATAAAGATCATCCTGTTGTCAAAGAGGGTTTGTCTTGCTTATGAAACAGCGTTAATGATTCCTAAGTCATAAACCGCGACAACCACACTACATGTGGCTTGAAACCTAAGGCATGCTTGAATGTCTATCCTTGTTTTTCTTCCCTCTTTCCTGTCAAGGTTGCCATTATGCTGAGCTGGCTGGGATGTGTCCAGAAACTTCTGGCTCCGCCTACATGTATGCCTATGTTACCGTGGGAGAACTGTCAGCTTTTGTCATTGGCTGGGGTCTTATTGGTAAGTGCGTGTTGTGTCACCTGCCTGATGGCCCTTTTTATTCTTCAGCAATCAATGTTTTCTGTGCGTCTATTCCATTATGGGTCATAAACAGGATGGTGCACTTGGGGTCTTCACGGGTGCCTCATAGTTTATATTATCTTGTAGGGATTCTTCTTTAGGCCAGATTTCTTCTCTCTGACTGACCAAGTCTGGGCATTCCTGTAAGACATGCTCTGGAGTTCGCTTTAGTGAGGCACTACCAGCATTGTTAGCAAGACCCAATCAATGTATTGTTTGTTTATCTGACGGATCAACATCATGGCACACGGGTGTAACCCATAAGTGCTTCTTTCTACTTCTAACTGTTAGCCGTATAAGATGGTGGAGTGCATGAAAACCCAGGCAAATCGATATGGCACACGATACGAAGTGGTTAAGGCAACGCTATGACTTGAATCTCTATAATTAATTATATTACAGTTCCCTATGTGAGTTCAGGAGTCCCGGGAGGGGTGGGGGTGGAGGGACAGACCCACTGCTTCTTAAGCATGACATAAAGGACTACGAATTTGCTGACATATGATGTGTTGGGCAAAATGAACAGATACAACAGCCTAGCTGCACACAGCAACGCAATATTTCAATCGCGCTTTTAATGGCGAGTACATAAATCGAAACATATATTACAGTAGAGTGTGTTATCATTTGTATCTTTATTGTAACTTGATCTCTTCTGTTATATTCCAGTGGAGTATGTTATCGGCACGGCAGCGGCAGCTGTTGCTCTCAGTGAAACCTTCGACTCGCTAGTGAACAAAGAAATCTCCACCTTCATCAACTCAAACTTGGACAAAGTGGGTAAGTCTCTCGTTCATGCCATGCCTACTTCGTCCACTGTCCCGTATCTCCTAACCTGGACAAAGTGGGTAGGTCTCTCGTTCATGCAATGCCTACTTCATCCACTGTCCCGTATCTCCTAACCTGGACAAAGTGGGTAAGTCTCTCGTTCATGCCATGCCTACTTCGTCCACTGTCCCGTATCTCCTAACCTGGACAAAGTGTGTAAGTCTCTCGTTCATGCCATGCCTACTTCGTCCACTGTCCCCTATCTCCTAACCTGGACAAAGTGTGTAAGTCTCTCGTTCATGCCATGCCTACTTCGTCCACTGTCCCGTATCTCCTAACGGAGCATAGACCTTCAGCCACTCACTACAAGCAGTCCATCATCTCCAATTCGTATTTCCTTTTACAACTTGTCAGTAGCTGGAGGAATACTTTTTAGTATTTATGGGATAGGGTAACCAACCCTAAGCCAAATCTATCATTATTTGCCTCTTAAGACATGCATGGTAGCTTACAGTGCTGCTATTGTTTTCCCTTAAGGCCCCTGGAAATAAAATACAAGGATGCAACTCTAAATTCACCCATCGTCCATCCTGTGCAAGATCTTGTGGGCCATTCCCACGAGCTGTCCTATGTTCCAGGGGTGTCAGATGTTCCTTGTTTTGAAAGTTTTAAGCACATTCACCACCAATGACAGCCAGTATAAAGATACAAAAACATCTATGATTCGATACTTATGAATCGTCGCACCTTCAGTGCTTCCCTCTGCAGTACTTTTTTCATGTACACAGGCGCCTGTCGCGCCTGAGCTGCTCGCAACAACACATTCTAGAAACAATACTCATTCACACAAAAGACAAAGCTGAGCAATTGTATCTGAGAGTCATTGTCGACCTTGTCAAACAAACGCAGTCACTTTTCACTATGCTGTATATAGACCCCAAAGAGAGTTTCATTCCTTTACATCTGCAAAGTAGCAATCAATATCTGTGAATTATTTTCTCAGATAAATATATGTTTTGCGTGTTATATTTCACTGCCTCAAACTTCCTTCAAAATTGGAGTGCATCTGCTTGAGAGGCAAGGAAGCAACAGTCTGCATACAAATATGCAAGATATGTAAAACGGATGCACATGCAAAAACTCATGCCCTGGAACAAAGCCAAAGTCCAGAAATAGATGAACAATCAGGTATTTCCACCGGGGTTTACAGCCGATGAAAGCAAACACACAACAACAACTGTCGCAAATCAGTATCCAAGTGGTTAGTTCTAGTCAGGAAAATTGAACGGTTTTATATTTTCAGTAATACCAACATCCCCATTTGGTTTCTAGGGCCCCACTGTGACGAAAACAAGAATAGATAAAGTGCATGCCCCAAAAAGGCATGTCGTAGGAGTCAACTAATTAGGGGCATCTTTCAAATTCAAATTACGTCTGCCTGAGTGGCAAGCAACCAAGAGTTTGTAAACAAATAAGCCAGATCTGTCAAATGGATATACGTGCAACACTCAGATTCTGGAACAAGATGAAAGTCAGGGGTGGATCAATACCCGAAACTCTCCGCTGGAGTTTACAGCTAGTGAATGTTAAGAAGAAGAAAAAGAAGAAAGATGATGAAGAAGAAGTAGTATAAACATATTTTGCTAGCATAATAAATCTTCTTCTTCTTCTTCGCGTTCACCAGCTGTAAACTCTGGCGGAAAGTTCTGGTTGTTTATCCACTGCTGGACTGCAGTCCTTTTCCAGTACCTGAGTGTTGCGTGTGCATTCGTTTTACAGATCTGACTCATTTGTATGCAGACTGCTGGTTCCTTGTCTCTCAGGCAGATGCACTCTGACTTCAAAGAAAGCTCCCAATTAGTCGACTCTTACGACATGCTTTTGGGTAGGCAGTGGGTCTATTTTTGTTTTCCCTATAATAGGGCCCCGGAACCCACACGGGGGAGCATAATAAATAATATGTATGCGCATAATCTGCTTCTTTTTAGCACCAGATAAAAGGGAACATCGTTGGCAACATGTGGCTTCTTCTAGTGTATTATGCTTTTTTGATACTTAATGTGTCTGTTTTATTAGCAAGGCATGAACGTATCTATGTCAGAGGCAGGGGTGCCGTAACCTGTTGTTTCATCAAGGTGCCAGTACCTTATGCACATTGAGTGCCTTCCACCTCCAACTTTTTAAATTATTTGTGGTTCTTCTTCTTCTTTGTTTACCAACTGTAAGTTTTCCTAAACAACAAAGCCCAGGAACCCATATGGAGAATAAGCCATTCAAAACCTAATAATGCTTACTAATGTTGCACACTTAAATAAGGTATATGCTTCTTGAGCCTCTGCCCCTAGGTATCTAGAAGGGAATGAACGTTCCCCCACTCCCAGTTATTTCTGTGTGGGTGCACCCTTGGACAGAGTTAATCTGTAGGGTAGTGTAAGAATTGTCAGTTTATTTGTGAAGGTAGGTTGTACCATGGACAGAGCCATCTTAACGCATGGGCCTGCTGGGCTCTTGCCCAGAGACCCCAGGAGCACAAGGGTTCTATGCCAATCTGTGCATGTCAAGTGACATGTCATAAATAAAAATGTCTTTCCTGTGAGTGGTTGTTGTGAAGGTCCCAGCACATTGATTTGCCCAGGGGCCCCTTAATGCGGTTAAGACGGCTCTGGTCATGGGTGGGCTGTGGTGGTGGTGGGGGGGGGGGGGGATGACAGTTCTTTGGTGAAAAGGCGATGGCTAGCTAAGCTGTTGTGGTGTGTGAGGTGTGATGTTGACAAGCTGCAAGGGATTGACTGATCCATCGGTTTTCCTCTCCAGACTGCTACATAAAGGTTTACCATACCATCCTAAGATTTGAAAATCTCAATCGGGATGGCAGTCCAACTAGGCAGGTCCCAGATACCCCGTTCAACCCCCCAAAATAGTTATAATTAGGATACCTGTAATAACTACGTAAGGGAGTAATCCGTTTGGACCTGCACGGGTTGAATCTCTTGTACTCGACGTGTTGACTGATTGCAGTCCACTTCCATCTGTGTCACGGGAGCTGACCCAAAGAAAACATTAGAGTGGGCTTAGTCCCCTTATAATTTTCTAGGGAAGGGGGGGTTGGCCTCAGGTGGCTTAAGTGAATAATAATAAAAATAATGTATGCAAAATATCAAAGATGGGTCAGCGGAGCTGTACCCTAATCAGATGTTGCTGGGTCCTCACCTTTAATATTTTGAATATTTTTTTAAACATAGTTCATATTTACATTTTGTAAGACAGTGAGATAACCTCCGTGAAAAATAGTTTGCAAGACTTGCAAATTTTAAGTAAGACAAAGTCGCTTATGATACAACCCGCCAGATGACCAGGGGGAAACAAATGGTCAGACAGCTAGTTGAAGAGATGACTAGTTGGTTAGATGGGGGAGAACGAGGAGAAGCCGAAGAAGAAGAAGAAGAAGAAGAAGAAGAAGAGGAAGGAAACTTAAACTACTTTCAAACAATGTTAAGAAACAGAACTATCCATGAAAGAATGAAAACCACAAACAAGAAAACCTACGTCTTGTTGATCTTAGTTCTCAATCTGTTGTCATGATGTCTGCAGGTTTACCACATGTGGATGTTATTGCCGCCATCGTCTGCTTGTTGTTGATGTGGCTACTGGCCAGCGGGGCCCAAATGTCTGCTCGAGTCAACAACATCCTCAACGGACTCAACTTTGTCTCCTGGGCTGTGTTTATTGGGGCGGCTTACTCACTTGGGTCACGGACAAACTGGACCGATCATGGTGGCTTCTTGCCGTTTGGTTATCAAGGCGTGAGTTTTTGTGTCCTTTAAATGTTTATCTCATAGTTTTTTAATACTGTAGTATTCTGTTGACACACAAAAAGTCACATAGTTATCTGATGGTGCGTTTTTAAGTTGATGGGGAATGCCCGTATGTCTAAAAAAAAAAAAACTTGATTATCCAGAATGATTGGTAGAACACTAAAGTATTTCACTAATTAAATGACAATGATTTTGAATATCAAAATTATGACAAAATTATGTTCCTTTCAGTAGCTAAGTGTTTCTTTCTTTCTTTCTTTCTTTCTTTCTTTCTTTCTTTCTTTCTTTCTTTCTTTCTTTCTTTCTTTCTTTCTTTCTTTCTTTCTTTCTTTCTTTCTTTCTTTCTTTCTTTCTTTCTTTCTTTCTTTCTTTCTTTCTTTCTTTCTTTCTTTCTTTCTTTCTTTCAAAATAATATAGTTGGCTTGGCAAGTGGGTGGTTGGCCTGTATAATTGGTTGTTTAGTTGAGTGGTCAGATGGTTGATTGGATACTTTGTTTAACTCTTTTGAGTCCCAAGGGGGTTTAGCATCAGAGGCCCAAATGGTAGTCAAAAGAGACAAAATAGGCGCCTCACTGGGCCTCTAGATTAGAATCTATGAACGTATCATACGTTCCTTTGGACTCAAAGAGTTAAGAACTTACATCAAAGAACTCAGGACATTTCCATAAGCACTCCATCCTCATCTTCAGCAGCCAGCAAAAGGTTCTGATTCTGATGGAACCAGGAGCAGTTTGAATATATGTCCATCTCGATTTTCCTTTTAGTTTAGAGTGTCGATCAGATCCCTTGGTCACTCCAAGCTGTACCATTCTCTAGAAACCATAATGATCTATTCATGCCTCCGCATTGCTCACTTGCTTCCAAAGGGCATTGACCACTTCTAGCTTGTCATGAATCAGTTCACAATATAGTGGTCCAAAACCAGCAGTCTGTGAGCCTGTTTATTTCCTAACACTCCTACATAGCATGGAGAAAACATGCAAAAAACACAAACTACCCGGGAAGCAATGCTTGCCACTCTGCATGGAGCATTCCTGTCACTGTCTCCACCTTTCTCAACCAGTTTTGTGAGTTGGTCAGTTAACTCTTTGAGTCCCAGGGGGTTTAGCATCACAGGCCCAGGGGGTAGTAAAGAAAGTAATAAAATTGGCGCAACCTGCGTTTATTGGGCTTCTAGGTAGGAACCTATGAACGTATGATGCGTTCCTTGGGACTCAAAGTGTTAGTGGTTTCCTGGATAAATGACTCGTTTATCAGCCAAAACCATAGCAAGAAGAAGGACACAAAACCCCACACATGGAAGTCATGTGAATGTATACTGTTATTACTGTATCATTTAAGTGTATTGTTTTATTAGGAAGGTAAAGCTAACAGCAGTCATGCTCTGTGTTCTCTCTCCTCAATACCATTCTATCTCTTCTGTCTTCCTCTCTTCTGCCTATCATTCCTCGCACCATTCACATGACATTTCTGTCTTGTGGCATTCATGCTCCCTTTCACTCTCCTCAGAGCCATTCTATCTCCCCTGTCTTCCTCCCCTCTGCCTTTCATTCCTCGCACAATTCACATGACTTTCCTGTGTAGTGGCTTGGGTTAAGGACCCTTCTTCTTTTTGTGGCGCTTGTTGATAAAGACTTCTGCTGAAACATTTATTTGTTTTTTCTACGCATGCCACCTCCCTCCGCTTTTTTCCCTAGTTTTTTTTTTTTCACTTACATCTCAGTAAATATGGATTTTAAACCTGGGGGGGGGGGGGGGGAAGATTGGTGATCAATTATCTACGTCAAACTTGACCTGTTTTGTTTCTTTTGCTTTTTCCCAGGTGCTGACAGCCATCCCTACAGCCTACTACGCCTTTGTGGGCTTTGATGGGCTTGCTACCACTGGGGCTGAGTGTAAGACTCCAGTTACATCCATCCCAATCTCAATCATCAGTTCCATTGTCATCAACATCGTCGTCTTCACCAGCGTTGTCATCGGGTTAACCCTGAATGTGCCTTACAAGTAAGTTACCTCACTGGTGGTACAGCAGGTTAAAGTTAGACAACAGGCTTATGTTAGACATCAAGCATTTGTTAGACATAAGGCACACGTTAGACATCAATCATACATTAGACATCAGGCATTCGTTAGATATCGGACATATGTTATATATTAGGCATATGTGGGGTATCAGGCACATATTAGACACCAGGCTAAGTTTAACAGGCAAGAATGGGTTGTATCACTAAGCACTTTGTGAATGGCTGGGCTAACCTTCATCTTTGTGCCAGGTCATGCTAGTGTTCGAGGCAACAAGCGTGCACATTATCTTGCAGACACTGCCTTTGCTAAGGGTGTTATTAATGCCATTGGCAGCACCTAACTTGAAGATCAACAAATCAAAGGGCTATATCCATATCCCTGTCTAGGCTGATTCACATGAGGTGTCACCTGGGGGTGCAAGAAATAAATATTTCACCAAGATGACAAGTTGTTTGATTAATCAACACAGAACAGGCATCATGAATCGTTTTACACTTGTAGAGCTTTTGAGTAGAAGATCACCTGATGTCTAACACATACATGATGTCTAACACATACCTGATGTCTAACATATACCTGATGTCTAACACATACCTGATGTCTAACACATACCTGATGTCTAACATATACCTGATGTCTAACATATACCTGATGTCTAACATATACCTGATGTCTAACATATACCTGATGTCTAACACATACCTGATGTCTAACATATACCTGATGTCTAACATATACCTGATGTCTAACACATACCTGATGTCTAACACATACCTGATGTCTAACATATACCTGATGTCTAACATATACCTGATGTCTAACATATACCGGATGTCTAACATATACCGGATGTCTAACATATACCGGATGTCTAACATATACCTGATACTAATGACTCCTAATGAAATTGGTACAGCAGAAATTTAATATTGATTGTGAATTCTGAATTTAAATAGAAGAGACTGGATCAGAAATGACAATATCAGGAAAGATTTTGGGACGGAACCTGTACTAAACTACATCAAGAGACAACAGATGAAATGGTTCAGACATGTGTCAAGACTACTACCAGGTAATGCACCATGGAGAGCTCTGTCACTTAGACATAATGGGAGCAGAGCAAGAGGTCGACCACGCAAGCGATGGATAAATAGAATATCTGAGGTCATAAATACCAGCATCTTCATAGCACATACCAAGGCGTGCTCCCGATGCCTCTTCAAAACCTGATGCTGAAAGGCAGAACAAGACACAGAACAGAAGAATGACTTCTAATGACATTTTCAGGTACCCATTTTTAAGCTGGTCAACCTGAGAGCAAAAATTCATTATAAAAAAAAGTTAAAAAAAGAAAAACAGTTAGTGCAGAACGCTTCTAAGTGATGACAGTTGGAACAAGCAAGGATCTAGGATGTAAAATACTTATTATGTATCTCTTTGGGGTTCTGGGGCTCCATTTTGTGGAAGAAAAGTGTGAGTGGGGTGGATAGAACCACTTCTCACTAACAAACATGATATAAAAGGCAACTGACTGGGAGTTTGCTTAAATGTGTTGGGCCATACGGTGCTGATATTGAAGCCTAGCTGTACACTACAGCACAAACTTTTATTAAGGTAAAATTCAAAAGAAGAAGGATTAAATAGAATAACAGGTGAGTTTGTCATGTTGTGTATGCCCTCTGAGCTACTAGGCTGAAGACTATAATGTTGGATCTCTGACACCAACATGATTGCATGACCTGGGAGTAAGGCATGTTGAAGCACATCTGTGCTGCCTTTGAGTCCAAGATAGGAGACATTATAACCAGCTTCTCATGGGAAAAGTCATTAGAGATACGTTTGAGTGGCTGCTGTATTGAAGAACAGAGCACTTATGGGAATGCTACATGTGCAGTAACGTCGATTGTGATTAAATAACATGGCTGAAAACTGTTGACTCTCTGAGATACGATCTCAGTCTAGATGGCAGATCAACAAGATCTGAAGGTTTGACATTGTAAGACTAAACAAGTCTTAGTACTAACAGCAGACCAGCAGGGCAAGCCCAGATACCCTGTTCAGCCTCCAAGGAAGGGCACTCATAACAGCCACACCAGCCCACTGTAACCAGCAGTGTTGTGCAGATAAGGATTGCCACTGCAGCATGACTAGAATAAGAGATTTTAAACTGGCTTTTCTGTAGCTTTAATATTTATAATGACTAATGTGTCCTTGGAACATAAATTATACCTACTCCTCAACTTATGACCAATGCGACTTACGACCACCCTCGCTTACAACCACACACACACAAAGTAAATAAAGAAAGATAACAACATTGGTAGGGTCACAAAGTCCCCGGAACTGATCCAGTAGAGTACATATTATGCATTGTTCACATTATGAGCATAGACTGGATTTGTATGCTTTATGTACAATTTTTATAACCCGTTTAAAAGAAAATAGCAGTGGTGAATATAAATTTGACTTACAACCTGTTAATCATAACAGAAATGTGTTGTAAGTCGAGAAGACACTGTACTTATTTCAGTTACCTCCTCTGTGAGTGTTGATCATTACCTGTGAATGTACTCCTCAGCTTACTGCCTACAGACACTGCAGTACTAGACATGTTTGTCATGATTGGCTACCCAGCTTTCAAGTACGTGCTGGCAGTCGGAGCGGTGTCTGGTCTGTTTGCGGCCACTTTTGGTTCATTATTTCCATTGCCACGGGTTCTACAGGCCATGTCTCAGGATGGGCTGCTTTTCAAGTAATGCATTTTTTCTCCTCATCATTTTCATCACTAGTTTTGTCACATGTTTACATTGTTTAGAACTTTCCTTCTTCGCTCCATTCCTCCCCTCCCCCTTTCCCATTCTGGTCAGCTATTTGGGGGTTTGACAACTATCTTCTTCTTCTTTTCTCTACTCCTGGAATGCCTCGCTGTGTCAGGGCAGGAAGAAATCATCTAAATTGGTCTTTCCTAGTTGGTTAGTGAGATTACTTCATTTTCTACAAGCACTAAATAAAACACTGTCAGTTTGCTAGACCAGTCAGTGTTTTCAATCTTTCTAGAAGGTTACACCTGAACTAGACTATCACATTCAGACTAGTTTAACACAACTTCCACTCTAGGATGTCTAAAACTGACCCCAGTTAGATGCTGGCCAAAAAATAAACATCCCCTTGCCTCGCTATATTGACCACTACGAGGTTACAAAATCTCAATCTTGATGGTAAGCCAGCGGGGCAAATCTGAGATATCTTATTCAGCCGCCAGAGAAGTTATAATTGTGGCACCCAGTAGCAGTTTGAGGATAAAATTGTGAGGGCAATAGGGAGTGCTTTAGTTCCATAGTCCACGAAAACAAACTTTATATTTTTAAAGGGTCACAAATTGGGCACGCAGGCCCGCCTTACATTCGTCCCTTCCAAACACACATCTTTCACACAGCAGTTGTAGTTTATCAATAAAGCATGTTATGTTCATAAAATAATGTGCATATTATAAATATATAGCAAAAATACAAATGCACGGGTGGTAAAATGCAATTGCACCCTTGCGTGCACACCCCCCCCCCCCCCCCACATACACATGCAAACCCACTCACCTACACACACATATGCATCCACATACATACAGGTACACATCCACACATACATACATACATACATACAATCATACATACATATACACACACACACACATGTATACAGGCACACACACACATGCATACACACATGTAGCCACACAGACTTCAAACACAGATATAAACGCACACAGACAAACAGTGTCTATTCACCAGCTATCCTAGGTGGCAATTGTAACAGCTACACAAGCCTGGGTCAACTAGGCAGTCCTGTTTAGATAAGGAGGATGTATATTTACAACTGGTAAACACGTACGTTATATCAGATCAAGCGGATGAAACACTAAAGACAAAACAAAATTAAACAGATCAAGCAGATGAAACACTAAAGACAAAACAATATTAAACAGATCAAGCAGATGAACACTAAAGACAAAACAAAATTAAACAGATCAAGCGGATGAAACACTAAAGACAAAACAAAATTAAACAGATCAAGCAGATGAAACAGTAAAGACAAAACAAAATTAAACAGATCAAGCAGATGAAACACTAAAGACAAAACAAAATTAAACAGATCAAGCAGATGAAACACTAAAGACAAAACAAAATTAAACAGATCAAGCAGATGAAACACTAAAGACAGAACAAAATTAAACAGATCAAGCAGATGAAACACTAAAGACAAAACAAAATTAATCATCTCAAGCAGATGAAACACTAAAGACAAAACCAATTGAAGTAGCAGATCAGTTTTTTGATAGTCAAGGAAACACAAAGAAAGAAGTTAGGCCATGCATTGACAAACCATCAGCAGCTTCAAAAGCTTGAACATAATATATAACTCTAAATCATATGGTTTTATAACCAAGCTATGTGTTTTCTGGTATAATGTTATTTCAGTTTAAACATATGCAAGTGAATGTTAGAGATCCACTAAAGACAAAGAATAAAAAGTTCAGTGCATTTGAAAACAAATGCCTATGGAAAATTATAAACTCAAAATGGGATGAATTCAAGATGAGTGTCTGGGCAACCACCAGTGTCAACAGTTATAAGAAGAGGAGATGGCGTTATATTGAATAAATTCTGATAAGAGATGAACAGAGAATCACTATAACTGGCAATGAAATGGGAAAAAGAGGGACTGAGGAAATGGGGATGCCTAAAGAAAACCCTAAAGTGAATTGTTGAGAAAAACCAAAGATATTCCATTCATGATATTGAATTTGCACAGAATAGAATGGAGGAATAGACAGCGAGCTCTGTTGACATATAATGGCACAGCAGACAATGAATGAAGGAAAAATCATGTTAGGGTCAGTGCCCTAGATCGCAAAGTCCTAGTAGTCAGTGTCTCTGCTTGCCAAGGAAGTGGATAATCTTTGGCCCTTACTGAGAAAGAGACTGAGCACCTGTGGGAATATCTTAAGCAATGGTGGCTCGTAGCTAAAATTAGCAAAGGTGTTACTTCAGTCTACTTCTTCTTCTTCTTAGCGTCCACCGGCTGTGAACTCCAGTATAAAGTTCTGGTTGTTCGTCCAGTTTTAGACTTTGTTCTCGTTTCAGTATTTAGGTTTGCATGCACATACATTTTACAGATCTGGCTTATTTGTGTGCAGACTCTTGGTTCCTCGCTGCTCAGGCACTGTCACTTCATAGCAAAAATCCCTAAGCAGTCACCATTTACAACATGCTTGTTAGAGAGGCAGTGGGTCTGTCCACCCCCCCCCCACCCCCAATCTCAGAATGTGGCCTGGGAACCCACGTGGAGAGCAAAGATTAGTGAGGGTACTGCTTCAATAAATATTTAGCAATTGTTTAATTACTGTATTAAAAAACACATAAAAAACATTTACACGCAGAGTCAGAAAGAAACAATACCTTACGCTAGAACACACAAAAATTGGCACTGTGTGAGCAGCAATGCTGTATGTACCTAGCGTGCAGCAATGCTGTATGTACCTAGCATGCAGCAATGCTGTATGTACCTAGCATGCAGCAATGCTGTATGTACCTAGCGTGCAGCAATGCTGTATGTACCTAGCGTGCAGCTTTGTATCTTGGACATGTTGGCATGATCACAACAGCCAAACACCACACAGCTCCATATAAGGATTTATGTTATTTATTAAAGAACTAGGAGAATGGCTACTGGCATTCAGCTTAAGGATGGTATAATGTGCAAGCGTAAAGAAAGAATTAACGAACAAAGACCCATTATTAACATTTAATGTTACAGATAATATTGAGTGAAGATAGAGGGTGCTGCAGTTCTGCAGTGCCTGTACATAAGCCGCCACTGGTTTTAAGGGCAGTGATGTGAATTCTTGAGTCAAAAATTTCCCTGTGTGGGTTCCAGAGCCCCATTTTCGGAAGGGAGGGGAGAACAGACCCACTGTCCCCCTTACAAGCATGTCATAAAAGTCAACTAATTAGAGGTGTTCCCTTCGAAGTCTGAGTGTGTCCGCCTGAGAGGCAAGGAACCAACAGTCAGCTTATAAATAAGCCAGATCTGTAAAACGGGTGCAGGCACAAAACTGAAATTCTAGAACAAGACAAAAGTCTAGAAGTAAACAAACAACCAGAACTTTCCGTTGGAGTTTAAAGCCGATGAACATGAAGAACAAAGAAGAAGAAGTCATTCATTTATTCATTTCCAGGAAAGGAGTGGACTGGAACAGTAACAAACACAGAAGAGCTGCGGCAGAAGACTACTGTGAAATATTACCATGATTGTATTTTTTTTTTTAGCAACAATAGTAGTAGTATCAAGTGCAAGGGGTAAAAGAAACATGGATAGGAGAATTAATTTTTCAAATTATTAGAATAAGTCTTATTTTAATACTAATACCAACTGATAATTAAATTAAGTGTATGTTTCAATAATTTTTGTTCTTCAGATATTTCGCTCACGTCTGCCCCAAGCGACACACAGCTGTGCGAGCCACCATACTATCAGGCTTGGTTGCTACATTTTTAGCAGCATTTGTACAACTCCACCTCTTGATTGAACTGGTGCTTATCGGCACATTACTTGCCTACGTCATCGTGACATTCATCACACTCATCATACGATTCACCGATATAGGTCATGTGACTTCCTCAGCCAGTGACAAATCTGCTTCAGCAAAAGAATTGACCGAAACAACACCTATTATAAGTTCATGCGTAATTAAGCGGAAGTCATCAGATACAAATTTAAATCAGCTCAAGGAAGATGGAGCTAAGCAGACAGTTAACCGGCAAAATTCTGGAAATAATGAAAAAGTTTATGAGAATGGTGAAGTAATAAATCTAGCCTACGAAGATGATGAAAGACAGATTTACCCAAGAAGAAATTCAGCAAATAGCCATTTTAAAAAATATGATGAATGCAAAGAAGTTGTCACTGAGGCATTGAATGACTACAAAGAAATATCTTACATGTTTAATCAAAGTACATCTTTGTTCGATGTAGCCGAACCATCGTCACCAACTAGCAGAAATATATTAACAAAAGAATGGTGCTGTACAAACCTGGACAATGTCACATTCTATTTAAGTCGCCATATTGTAGTTTATTTGTTAATATTCTATGGCTGTTTGACATCGATGTGTACCATACTGGCTAACTGTTTTGCGCAGATAGTGGCTAGGAATTTCCTGGTGATTGCCTTGCTAGCTGTTCTCATGATCACAGTGTCTTCTTTGGCAGTTTTTCTGATGTTTGTTCCTCAAATTAAACGGTAAGATTGGTAAGTTTGCCTCTTTATGTTGTAGCTGTTGATGATGTTTGAGTGCTGCTGCGGTTGATGGTGATATTGTAATTGGTATTTAGAGTATCAGCAGCAGGAGTACTAGTAGTAGCAGTGGCAGTAGTAGTAATGGTAGTAGTACAGTAGTAGTATGAGTAGTAGTTGTAGCAGAGCAGTTGTAGTATTAGAAATAGTTGTCATTAGGCAAATATGCAGCCTAACCGACATTATACCTGGTGCAGAATGGATACCTGTGCCTCAGGCGTTTATTTGTACATTTTCCTGTATTGTCACACTCAACAGGCTATGTAGAGAAGAGAATCCTGTTGCTGTTAATGCAGAGGTCAACGCTCTCATCGGTGAAAATTCAGACGAAGCAGATGCAATAATCTATACAGACGGATCCGTTATACGCCAAAGAAGAAGCGCATGGGCATTTACAGCACGCTCAGCGGGCAGAACAGTCAAAGAAGCCAACGGCGCCTTCTCCATGACAACCAGCAGCATGACGATGGAGGTGATGGCAGTGACACAAGCGCTTGCCTGGCTTGAAACACAAAAATACACCCGCGTGTGTATACTCAGTGATTCAATGAGTATGATCCGGAGGGTTCAGGCAGGTTCAGTGCGAAGACAATGGCTTGAATCATTACAGAAGTCCACTGTTCGTGGAGTCACCTTTATTTTTGTTCCGGGACACGCAGGCGTCGATGGAAATGAAAGAGCTGACAGGTTGGCTGGATCCGCTATCACTACCGACGGCCAGCCTATGGATCATGCTGATATTATCAATGCCCTCAGAGAAATGGGAAGAATAGAGGACTTTGGTGGCAGTGAATCCACATCACTCGCCAGAATGGCAGACTTGGGAATTAAGATCGGCACAGCAAAAAACGAGACGCACACCAGCTACGCCAGAAGACTTGTTAATCAACATAGAACTGGTACTATTAGCCATTGGACGTTGGGGTTCATACTGAGGGGAGGATCTGAGCACCTATGGACATGTCCGGAGTGCAATGAGGATAACCCAACTAACTAACTAACTAACTAAATAGTTGTAGAGTAGTAGTATTAAAGTAGTAGTAGTTGAATTAGTGGTTGTTGTAGAGTAGTAGTAGTTGTAGAGTACTAGTAGTAATTGTATTAGTAGCTGTTGTAGAGTAGTTTTAGTAGTAGTATAAGTAGCAGTAGTAGCAATAGCAGCAGCAGCAGCAGCAGCAGCAGCAGCAGCAGCAGTAGTAGTAGTAGTAGTAGTAGTAGTAGTAGTAGTAGTAGTAGTAGATGTTGTATCAGTAGTTATTGTAGAGTAGCAGTGGTAGTAGTAGGGCAGTAATAGTAGCAGCAGCAGCAGCAGCAGCAGTAGTAGTAGTAGTAGTAGTAGTAGTAGTAGTAGTAGTAGTAGTAGTAGTAGTAGTAGTAGTAGTAGTAGTAGTAGTAGTAGTAGTAGTAGTAGTAGTAGTTGTTGTTGTTGTGGTAGTAGTAGTAGTAGTAGCAGCAGTAGTAGTAGTGGAGTAGAAGCAGTAGTAGCAGCAGCAGCAGCAGCAGTAGTAGATGAAGTTGTAGTAGTAGTAGCAGAAGCAGCAGTAGTAGTAGTAGTAGTTGTTGTTGTTGAACAGAACTGTAGCAGTAGCAGCAGCATCTGCAGCAGCAGCAGTAGTTGTAGAACAGTAGTAGTAGTAGAGGTTGCATTAGTAGTATTAGTGGTATTAGGGTAGAATGTAACTTTATTTTGTATGTCTCTTTACAAACACATGTGACTATTTTGGGCATTTATTAACAGGGTTAGTTTTTTTCTCAGAAACTGAACTCAAAGCATGACAAATTAGCCCTAGCTTTGAGTTTTCATTCATTTGCCATGAATTTCCCCAATAACTTATAACTTGTTGCATTTCCAGGACGGGTGATGGGTTCCGGACCCCGCTGGTCCCACTGCTCACTGTGATTACTGCAGGGGTCAACATTTACCTGATGGTCTCTCTTAGTTGGATGACCTGGCTCTTGTTTCTGGCCTGGCTGTTTGTAGGTATGTGTGATGGTGCTGTTGTGTTTGTGTGAGGTGTATAGGATGTGTGTGTTTATTGCTGATGTCTGTCTGGTATTTCTAAATTTGAGCTTCATTCGAGGACCTGAGTTTTGTGTGTGCACCCGTTTTACAGATCTGATCTGTTGGCTCCTTGCCTCTCTGAAACATACCTATGTTAGGTTAATATAGGGATTCTGTCTTTAGTGCTAATATTCGAGCTTATGTTTAGATCTATCATGCTAGTGTTTGAAAAGTGTTGTTATTTGGAGCACATGTGAAGTCCTGTGGCCAAGTTCCCTACTAAATGACAAACTCTGGTTTTAAACGTCTGTTGTCCAAAAGATCTACTATAAGACAAAACTTGGTTAAAACGTCTGTTGACCGAGACTCCTAGTGTATGACTGCCCTACTGTGTGATGGCATCCCCCGTGTGGGTTCCTGGGCCCCATTATGGGAAAACAAGAATATACCCACTGCCTCTCCAACAAGCATGTCATAGGAGTCCATTAACTGGGGACTTTCTTTGAAGTCAGAATGCATCTGCCTGAGCGGCAAGGAACAGCCAACTGCACACAATTAAGCCATTAAAATGGATGTATACTCAAAACGCAGGCTCTGGAACAAAGCCAATGTCCAAATGGACAAACAGGCAGGACTTTCGCTGTAGCTAATAGCTATAGATGATAGGACCTCTACTTACTCAGCTCAAGCCTATAAAATACAGAGACTACTAACAGATCTTCTTTTTTTGGTAGACGCCAATAGCAAGAAGTATTCTTAAGTAAAAGAGGGTTCAAATATGATAAAAGGGGGGAGGGAAGCCTTCTTTAATAAACAGTTTATGTGTGCATCACCGTTATTTCTACAGGGAGAAAACCTCTGGCTATCAACACTTCTTCTTCTTCTTCTTTCGTTCTCATGAAATAAATTATCTATATCTGCAAAGCTGTCTCTAGTATGAATTTCACTGTCTTTTGTAATACACTAAGCAGCCCGTAAAGTCTGACTTCCACAAGTGTCTCTTTTGGCCAGAAGTTTTGCCTGGAATGGTTGAATCTGGGACAGTCTTGGAGGATATGATCTGTTGTCTCAGGTGCCAGTCCACAGGTACACATGGCTGATTGGCCAATCTTAAATTTGTTGTACATGTGGCAGCGAGGTCGATTGTGCCCTATACTAAGGCACTTGCTCTGGTCTGTCCATGATCTAGTAATTGTCTTGTGCCAGTTTCGGTGGCATTCTGATTGATTTGATCATTCTCTTCTTCTGTTGATAAGAGACTGGTATGTCCGGTTGTTCTTCAGCTGCACCTTCCTTAGCTAGTTTATCAGCATTTTCGTTTCCGGGAACTCCACAGTGGTAAGGTATCCACTGCATTACTAAATTACAATGGTTGCCTAGTTCGGATAATAGTGTCATTATGCTTGGTAATTTTCCAGACTGGAGTGCCTGAAGTACCGCTATCAACGCTGTTCTCAGGGTTCTTGGTGTTGTTTCAAAGACTGTGGCCTTGCCTGAAAAAATGTAACGGTAAAATAGAATACTTTAACCCCAGTGTGTTTCCAGAGGCCCACATTTGGAGATGGATGGGTGGGGGTGGGGAGGAGAAAAGACCCACAGAAAAGAGCAGCTAATTATGGTTTGCCAGAAATTGAAATTGTTGGGCCAAAAAGTCAGATTTCGCAGCTATTTTTGTGAACCCCAATGTGCTAACCATCCTTTCAGGGGCAAACACAAAAGAGGAAAAAGAATAAGAAGATTTTTTAATAACAAAAGATAATAAAACAAATAACATTATACCATTAATATCTGCAGGACTGGGTATCTACTTCCTGTACAGCACAAGACACAGCAGTTTGAATACTCCAAGAGTGGAGAGTTCTTCTGACCTGGAAAGTACAGAGATAGAGCTACTGAACATTCCTGACACAAATGAGAAAGAAAATGCACCCTTACTTCATTCTCACTGATACTGGCTTGCCTAATCTTCTTGCAGATGTTTTGACTAAGAATATCTTAAATACTCATATTTTAATTGCAAATTTATTTTGATCTATCCAAAAAAAAGAAAATCCTTGCATTCATTTATTAACCCCCATGTACTGCAAGCTAGTGCCGGAGATCCTATATTCAAATATAAAAAGTATAGGATCCTCTGTATGCCAGTGGTACATAGGGAGTATCATGCTAGATTTACATTTTGTAAACTCTCTCGGTGTTGTAATCTTCATTATGCCGGCTGCCTTTACTTTTGAGGGCATTACTAGGTACCCAATTAGGCTGAGTTGACCTTAAAGTCAAAGTCCATTTGCAAAAAAACACACACTGAGTTGACCTGAAAGTCAAAGTCCATTTTGGAAAAAAAAATTAAGGTTTGATTCAGACCCAAAACCTGGGGCCGGCAGGCGAGTGTTTAGCCACTAAACTACTACAGGTTCTTTACAGTGGAAAAAGTACAAGATGGTTACCCGTACTGCATGGGAAGCAACTGCTATTAATAATTACTGAATTTTGTTGATTATTTCCCCTGTCTTTCATATGCTTAACATTTAGAAATGACCACTTAAAAAACTGTCTCAGTATTTTTTCATCACATTGCATTGTCATCCACAAAGTATGCGTGTATGCCAAATGTTAGCCCGATAACCTATCAGGAAATATTTTAAAAAAAATCAAACTCCAAAACTGTGTCAGATAATCCAGCCAACCGACCAATAAACAAACAAAAGCAAACTGCACTTCGCTCCGTCCCCATGTGGGATGAATTTGTTTTGGTTTTTTTAAGCCCCACCTTGGTTGTTGCCAGAGACCCTAACGCAACCTAACAGTTGAACAGGGTTTCTGGGACCTCCCAACGGGTGATCCTCATCCGAATAGTGGCACTTTGTGTCACCGGGTGTTTATCGCACTGTTTGGTGTCCTGGTGGGGTAAAACAGTCAGTCAGTCAAAAGCAAACTTAACAAAAGCTTATAAAATTATGGGATCTAACAGAAAAGCATGGTATGCACGGAGTCCAGAAAATGTGTGTGGAGGTGAATGTAGTCAATGTGTATAAACCACATCACCAATAAAGTCCTGAGAGGTCTATAAAAGTCCAGTTCTGAAACATCTGCCCAATAAGTCTCAAGAAATAGCAAGAGCCCTTACTTATGGGGAGGCTGTGAAACCAGGTGCTTGGAAGAAATGCCAAGGAAAAACTAAATATATAAAAGCAATTGCTGAGAAACAGAGTATAGGTAGACTAAGAAAACATTCATTTAGGAAAAAGCATGCCCAGATATTTCAACATTTAAAAGAGCTGCATATGACTTGATAACATTTTTATTTTTTTAAATCAAGGCCAGATTTTGCTGGCAAGATGGTTGTGAGTCCTCTGTGGTGGTGACTGATTGCATTACTGGGTCTTTAATTTATTAAATAGATGAGCTGTTGGCTGACTATGACTAATTCCGTGATGTAATAAATTATATTATTACAAGGGATTGTAATAATTTACACTAAAAGATCACTATTCAGTATAGTATTTTAATCAACATTGTGCTGCCAGAGCCAAACGTGGGCATTAACAACATAACTAACAAAATTTAAACAATAGAAATGAAATATGTCTGGCCAAATGGCGAAAGCTCATGCTCCGCTGGATCGACAACAACAGAAATTAAATATATATGACAAATCCTACATGTAACTTGAAAGCCTGGATCATAAATGATAGTTGGGAAGGGACCAATACTAAACTATATCAAAAGACAAGAGATCACATGGTTCAGACATATGTCAAGACTACTAGCATACAGTACATCACAAAGAGCCCTGTCACTTAGACACAATGGAAGCAGACCAAGTAGCCCACCACACAAGTGATGGATGAGATGGAGTATCCAAGGCTGTAAATACCAGCAAATATGCAGCACTGGGTGCCCCAAGATAATTGTGCTTCATTTCTATACAGTTGAATGAGGTTTCCAGAATTGGTACCTGTTTGATTCTCATCACTGAGATGTTAATCCTACAGATTGCAATCCTGCAAGGGAAAACTTAAAAAATAAAAAAAGTTTCAATAGTGAATGTTACAGCATTAGTTGGGAGTCGCCATGGCATAGCGGCTAGAGGCTCGCGTGTGGATTTGAAGGTCGTGGGTTCGCTCCCTGGCAGAGCCTGACTTTTTTCAAGATGCCCTATATGCCTAAAGGCGTGGAAAAGGGACCTTCTCTTTACTTACAACATTTGTTAAATATAAAGAATGTTACAGCATGTGTTACACATAATGAATTCCTAAGCCTGTTTGTTTTGTACAGTTGCTTTATTTGCCTTACACAGGGAGCAATAATTTACATCTATGAATGTTTTAAACTATTGTGATTTTTGTGTATAATTGTGTAACTGCACTATCAGATACTTTTTTTTTTTTTAATCCTCTCTGACAGAATTGTTTATCAGGGCACAAGTTCAATATAATAAACAAACCTGACAGCCCAGAGCAGAGCTTTCTAAAATGTGCGTCACGGCACATTAGTGTGTCTGCTGTAGTTAGTGTGAATGTGTTTCATGTTAACTTAAGTTATGTATGCCCTGAGTCGATTACATGCAATCATTTTTCAACTATTTCAGACTCAGACCACTATCGTAACAAATGTATGTCCTGAGTCCATTATATGTAACAATTTTTCAACTATTTCAGACTTAGACCACTATCGTAACAAATGTATGTCCTGAGTCCATTACATGCAACAATTTTTCAACTATTTCAGACTTAGACCACTATCGTATCAACTCCTTAAAATACTCATTAAAATAAAATCTATCACTGAATATATAAAAGCCACCAGATAGCATTTGCTAGGTGCTTGCTCTCCGGGCTGGATTTAGACTTGATGAAGCCTGTAGGCCATCTAAAGTCCTCAGACCCCATGTCTGAAGCCCTGAGGACCCTACCATATTAGGTGATCTGGTAATCTGGTAATCCTAGTTTCAGCTTCATAGCAAACGGGTCACCCCACATATGCTCCGCTCCTGTGCCAACGCAAAACAAACGCAGCTCACAGTGTCACGCCATGCACTCAACTCAGAAGCTGGGCGACGAAACTACATCCTTCCAGTCTACAAATGGAGCAAAAATGCAACGGCCACCGTCTGAAAAACAAAAAAAAAAACATATTTGCCACGGCTTTTAAAAAAAAAAAAAAAAAAGGGGTGTCCGTACCTAGCGTCCATTTTGACCGGAAGAATTATATGAGGGTTAATAAACGGTCACCCCAGCAGTACCCTCATTATTAGCTGGGGAAGGGACTTAGGACATTACATCCACCAGCAGGCGTCGCCCCTACAACGACCTGCCTGCCATCGTTAACGACTGTTCACCCAACAGCCATGCAGTTCTTTGGCACGAAGGAGACACCTTGAACTTGGGTTTCGTACTGCCGACTCCCTACTAAGATGTTATTTTATGTTCTGTTATCACAATTAATGTCACTGCACATTGGGCATACCCATGCGTGCTCAGTTCTCCGAAGCAGTAGCCACTCTAAAGTACTTCTACTAATTGTCCCCATGAGAAGCTGGTTATATTGTCTCCTTTCTCGGCCTCGAAGACGGCAAAGACGTGCATCACCATGCTTAACTCCCATGTCACGCAATCGTGTTAGTGTCAGGGATTCCTCATTCTCCACTAGCCCAGTTCGTACAGCGTTGACTATGTCTGCTCTGCCATACTTTTTCCCGCAATCATTAGTGCAGTGCTTGCCAGTTGGTCTGCTCGCTCATTTCCCTTCACGCCCGCATGACCCGGTGTGTAGATCCAGGTTACGGAGGTTAAGTGCGATTTCCTGATGCTTTCTATCCATTCAGAGCGCATACTGCCTGTTGCTATCTGCTGAAGCATATTCATTGAGTCTGAGACAATTACTACCTGTGTGGCGGTTTGCTCGGATACCCATGCTAAAGCTCTATAAGCAGCGGCTATTTCCATTGTCATGCTTGACGTGGTTGTCTGGTAAGCGCCGCTGTCCTCATGTATTGTTTTCCCCTTTCTTTGCGCTGTGTATGCCCATGCTGACCTTGATCCGCGCTTCACGGATCCATCTGTGTAGATGATGGTATCTTCTGGGTCTGAATGCTGATATATCAGTTCCCTTACTTCTGTGTCTACCGCCGCAGGAATTTGATCCCTGCAGTACCTTCCGAGTGTGATGACAACCTTAGAGATGCCATGCATGTCTACTGGTATATTCGTCCATTCTTTTCCGTGGCTGATCACGTCTAGGTCACATACCTGCTGGATTAAGTCCTCAGCCTTTGCCATCCAAGAGCGGCCCCTTTTGAGACGCGTTCCTTTTGTGTCGTGAATAGCTTTGTGTAATGGGTGGTTAACATCTGCCGATACCCTCATGTAAGCCTTGACCTGTGCCACTTTGTATCTGCTTGTCATAGTCGGCAGACCCAGGATATAACGCATGGCGTTGCAGGAGGTGTCTTTTGTGCAGCCGAGTATGAGTCTCATGGCCTCATTCTGTACTCGGTCCAGTCTTTCTAGCTGGGTTTTGCTGACAGTGAGGAGGCCAAGACCATAGTCAATGACGCTAAGCACAAGCCCTTGATAGAGAAGGAAAAGTAGACGTTGTTCAATATCAGCTGCTGCTAGCACCTTGAGTGCTGTCAAACCTTTCCTGGCTCTAAGTATGACGTTGTCTACGTGGCATTTGTATGACAAGCATCTGTCAAATGTCATGCCCAGGTATTTCATGGTGTCCGTTCTCTCGATGTCCACACCACAGATGCTTACGACTGGCGTTGGTGTACTCACGATGTGGGTATTCAGAGAGAACCATGTTAAGGAGGCTTTGGACGGGTTCATTAGGTGAAATCAGTTCATCTCAGAAAACTTTAAAATGTATTAGTTGATATAAGGTGGAATTTGATCTGTATCAAATTAAATAGGCTATATCAAGTTCAAACAAATGAAAGCCTGAG